CAGGATTCAGTTGCAAGTAATAGAAACCCTCTGGCTAGTTTTAACAGAAGTGCCTTTAAGAAAAAAATTTATGTTCTTACAAAACCCACTGTTAGTGCTGGAAGAGCAGACTCTAGCATAGGCCCCCTGCAAAAGCTCCCAGATAAACACCAAATGCTCAAGGAAACTGCTAGCTCTTCCACTATCAGAAAACTGGGGTAAGGGCAGTGAGGGAGAGAAATTGATGGACTTGACTTCTGGTTCCAGGTTCATCCCGTTTAGTTTCATACCATAAATCAGAAGCCAGAGTCAGAGCCAGCACTGCTGGCCTGAGGAAAACTGGCTTAGCTGCAGTTCAGGAATCCACGGATACCATCCTCATCAGTAAAATGGGTGACTTCCATGCCATTTCTTTCTGCACATAACTTATTTCCAAATTCAAAATTTAGAAAAGTCTATTTGATTGGTATATCTAATTCATATCTGAAACTCTAGTTTCAAGGATCTATTTAACTGTAGTTTTCACTTTTTAGCCTCTAACTTGAACAAGCCCACCTATTGGACTGACTACTATACGACTTTTTATATCTTTTTTTTTTAAGATTTTATTTATTTGACAGAGAGAGATCACAAGTAGGCAGAGGGGCAAGCAGAGAGAGAGAGAGAGAGGGAGCAGGCTCCCCGCCCAGCAGAGAGCCCGATGCGGGACTTGATCCCAGGACCCTGAGACCATGACCCGAGCCGAAGGCAGAGGCTTTTACCCACTGAGCCACCCAGGCAGCCCACGACTTTTTATATCTTTAAGCCACAAAAATGCATTAGCTATTTTTAAAAATTACATTAAAAATTAAAAGCTTAATGGGGTGCCTGGGTGGCTCAGTGGGTTAAAGCCTCTGCCTTCGGCTCGGGTCATGGTCTCAGGGTCCTGGGATCGAGCCCCGCATCGGGCGCTCTGCTTGGGGGGGAGCCTGCTTCCTCCTCTCTCTCTGCCTGCCTCTCTCCCTACTTGTGATTTCTATCTGTCAAATAAATAAATAAATCTATTAAAAAAAATTAAAAGCTTACTAAGTCCGGCTAATAAAACTTATTCATAATCACAAAAATAAAAACAATCCAGATGTCCATGCATTCGTCTGCTCAGGCTGCCATAATATAACAAAATACCTCAGACTAGGTGGCTTAAACAACAGAAGTTTATGTTTTCATAGTTTTGGTATCTAGAAAGTCCAAGGTCAAGGTATCAGCCAATTCAGTTTCTGGTGAGGACTCTCCTCTTGCTTTGCAGGCAGCTGCCTTCTCTCTGTGCGCCACATGGCTTTTCCTCAGTACCTGTGCTCAGAGAAGAGAGCTCTGGTGTCTCTTCCTCTTCTTATAAGGCACCAGCCCTACCAGATTAGGGGCCCACCCTTATGACATCATGTAGTCTTAATGACCTCCTGAAGGCCCTAGCTCCAAATACTGTTACGTTGGGGGTTAGGGTTTCAACATACAAATTTTGGAAAGAACAATTCAGTCCATAGCAGTCCTTTACCTAGGGAATAAATACACAAAATCTGTTGTCCATACAATGGGATACTACTCAACAATAAAAAGGGACAAATTATTGAAACATAAAACAACATGGATGAATTTTAAACGCATTATGCTAAGTGACGAAAGCCAGATTTGAAAGGCTATATGAGCCTATTTATACAATGTTCTGGAAAAAGCCAACGTATAGGAACAGAAAAGATATCAATGATTGTTAAGGAATGGAGAAAGGTTTGACACAAAGGGTTATGAAGGAATTTTTTGGTGTGATGGAATTATTTTTATATCTTGATTGTTGTGGTAGTTACATGACTGCACTTGTCAACACAGAACTGTACACTAAAAGGGATGAAATTATAAGTTATATTTAATTTTTAAGACCAAAAAAAACCCTATTCTGTGTCCTATACCCTATCAACTCATCATCATATTATAAGGTAATAATGTCTTATATTGATATAAAATAGTTCTTCCCTACCAAGTGTTTCTTATTTTTGCTTTTTGAATTTAACAGAACCTTCTAGGAGAAGATAATGACTTAACTACAGGGTGAATCTCAATAAAAGTTTAGGGAAAGATTTTTTGTTTGTTCGTTAGGATGTCCTTTGTGGTTGAATCCCATTAATAGAAAGTCACTTACATGGTGCTCAAGCCCACTAACTAATAATAAAGTAAGATTCTGTATAAACAGTCCTGAGCTTTCTTCTTTGGAGCCAGTTTTTAAAAGAATAAACAAAGGCATTGAAGGGTTTCAGAGAATATGAACCCAACGTCCTGTGTGCTATAACAACACCTGCTCAGAAGGGAACTAGGTTTCCATTTCTCTGTTGATCTCCTCCCTTCCCTTCCCTCCATTTGCCCACCATCTGCCCAGTGTCCACATGGCAACCAATTATCATTTCTACCATGTTTTGCCACCAATAAAAAAAAAAAAAACTGGTGAGCAAAACCTCTGTTACAGCAACATTAGAAAAATTTTTAAACTTCACCAAGCAGGAAATAACAGATGAAAACCATTGTCTCTAATGGAACTTCTCTTGGAGAAAACAAGTAGCACAGCATTGATAGCCTATCACCCCGACGATGGGGAAAACGTGCAGACAAATTTCTGGCACGTGATTCCCTAGAGAGTTTCTCCCTTTATTTGATATGCAGTAAAATTTATTTAAAATATTTTGAGGGTATCATCAGACTAAAAATCATCCAACTAGAAAGGTCAAACTGTCCAGTTTGAAAACGAAACTGCTTTGCTCCCAAATAAGATCATCCACCCTGCTCCTGTCCACTTAGATTTCTCTCATTAATTCCCTGATAGTCAGATTTGCACACTCTAGAAGGATTAGTATGAGTCTCTTATCCAAACTTTTGACAAGCTAGAGAATTAGTTTGCAAAGTAGGTGGGAGTGGGGCTATGCAAATGTGCAGTTCCTAGAGAGACTGTGGACCTTTGTCCTTCCCCTCAAGGACTAAGCTTTGAGCTCTTACTGTGAGTCCAGGGGCTGTACATACTTGGGTCTGACCTGAACTGCAAGAAAGCCAGGTCACTGCCAGGAATAGCTCTGCAAGATGGCTGGGATTTAGACATGGCTGCTATGCTTGTAGTTCGATTTCTATAGCTGCACAAAACAACTCTGCATTGCTTTGGTCAGGCCTGGGCTGCCCAGTGAGACCCGTAGAAGCATTCAGTCCTCCCCACTGCTCTCAGCTACTCACTCATCCCTTGTTTTAGGATTCCTTAGCTGCTGAGGAACCTGTTATTCCACAGTTCATATTTTGCACTCCTGATTCCATCACCACACTTACGACCCCCCTCCTTCCTTTCCTGCGGATATATGCCGCAGTATTATGTCTGCACGGTCTTCCCCCAGGTGTACGCCCTATCATCCCAGTGAGTTCTCCAGGGACTGGAAAAGTGCATTCATCAGGATCCGCTCTGTGCTGCACAACTCTTGGATTCAAAAGGTTCTTCCTACTCTAAACCCCTTCTTAATGAACTTGAACCCTATTCCTGGCCTTCTATTTACACCAGAGATGAGTACTAGCTCATCAATACTCTGTTTCATTTTACTTAATTAGAAACAAGAAATGCATGGCATATTTAAGAAATCAATTATCTGCTTTTAAAAAAGCCATAGGGCAAGAGAGCTGCTTCCCCCTCAACCTCCCCCCGCCCCATGGTCTGGTATGGGAGAAGAATTTATTTTTTAAGTTCCTGGGCCTAAGGAATTCTGCCATTTTTGTCGTAAATCACAGAAGCTGTGTGTGTTACTGTTGTAGATGTTATAATATAACCGAGTGGGGGAAATCTCTGTTTTTTTCAACTTAGGATCATTTTTAATCATGCAGTCTTGGCAGCTCCAGTTCTCAGCCATCCCTCCCTCTTACTAACAGCTTGTTCCTATTCCTAGCTTGGTGGGAATGTTGGCCTATGTGATGTATTTTGGGAAAATCAGCTAGAGTCATTGAATGTACAAATGAAGCTCATTTTATAGAAATTTAAATTAAGATAATGCTAACCTTAAAAAAACTACCCAATCTTCCATATGTATGGAATACATATTATTTCCAAAATAAAAACCATTTTTAGGCATACCCTGTTTATTATGAACATCTTTCTCTGGTGAAGAGATTCTGTTTTTGTTTTACTTGACTTGACTTTGCTTGACAATAACCAGTTCTATAGTGAGCTTTCAACAAAGATCAAGTTACTTTCAAGCTGGACAGTATGGGTTCTAGATTCACCGATACAGGCTCTGCTTATGAGCTTCTGTGGCTGCTGGTATGTTCCACTGAAGAATTTGTCCTTGGTGGAGCCTGAAGCGGACAGTCTTTGGGGCAGGCCCTTCATTTTCTTGCCAATTATTTGAGGCTTTCTCTGCTCAGTGCAAAGCTCCTATCACTCCAATACTTAATGGCTTGACAAGGTGGGAATGTGGTTAATTGGCCTTAGCAAGGGCTCCAGAGGCCCATGAGTTCTAAACTCTTTTGATACAGATTAGACTACTCCTTGTTTGACGTTAGCTTTAAACCAAATAAACCAAGATAGGAAACTCAAGAAAAATATGATGTGATTCTGAATAGGATAGAGGCACCAACTGGCTCAAAGAGCCAACTTTTTATCCAGGATATCACATGCTTCCTAACAACCCAGTGGAGTAGGTCACTATTACGACTGTTACCCTGGAGATTAAGGTATGTGCACATTTCACACTTCACTCTACAATTTTACCATCAGAAACTGTCTTTTGGGCATTGTCATTTGCTCTTAGTAAATGCGATGGTTTAATGTATTTCTAGCAGCTTCATCCCTATGAATATACTTTCCAAAGGAATTATTTTAACTCTCATCTGTACCTATAAAATGATGGAATGATGGTTATTGTTATCTGAGATAAGCCAGAAAGACCACTTTTGCTTCAACCAGCAAAAGTATGTCTGAGCAAAAATACAATTTTGATAGAACTATTTAGACCGTTTCCCTCAATTTTCAGAAACACTTGGATCCAGCTGATGCTTTGGTAGTTTTAGCCAAATGTAGCACCGGACGATCCCACCCACATGGTTCTCCCGGTACCTGGAATCCGAAGGAAAAGCTTGCCGCCGAGGAGCTAGTAGCAGAGATGAAATCCACGCCACGCCGCTGTCCTCCATGACGCCCCATCTGAAGGCTGGCTCCTCTCTTTTGTTTCAGAAAGCACAGGGAAACTCCGTGCCTTTCCTAAATTCCTATTGTCAGGATTTGGTGTTTCTACGTAACATAGTCCTCACCCCATCTTTCCCTTCGCTGCTGCTTTCCTCCTTCAGCCAGCAGCAGGCAAATGGTGGGCATCGCATTTCTCCAAACTCAGCCCCAAATAAATTAAATTCTGGTACCCGAAGCAGCCATTTGGTCCCCTTGCTGAAGGCAAGTCCAGCATCTTCTTTACGTACCACCTGAAAAGACCATTTGTAATAGGGATCCGCGAGTAATAAAGAAACAATACATGCAAATAGTTCCTTATGGGGAGATTTTGCCAAAAAGTTCTACGTCATTCTTCTAATAACTTCTGTGAGCTAATTTGTGAAATGAGAGTTGGGTTCTAGGCACAATTCTTGGAAATGAGGACAAAATTTAGGTAAATATTATGCAATTTACTTTGAAGCTTACTACTTGGTATTCCCTTCACTATCAGTTTTTAAAAACTGTTTTAAAAATATCGTGTTTTGAAGGGAGCTTTGTTTTTCTCAGCTCTTTCTCCCATCTGCTACATTTTGTAACAAAGCCATAATCGGGTGTTTATGATATTAGTTGCTGTGGAAATTAAGTTAATGCTATGCTATTCCTGTCTTACAGAGACAGCATGGGTCAGAGAAAGAGTTTGAAACATAAGTATTCAACTACAGTAGACATTTGAAAAAAGTAAAACATTTAATAAATAGAATCAATTTTAGAATTAATATGCACTTACCTTTGTACTCACATTATTGCTTAGTTGCAGGGACAATTTTAAAGGATTAGACCAAAGCAAATTTTATTTGAAAAGACCCATTACTTGAAAAATGAAATTGCATACAAATGAAGAGATGAAGCTATTGTATTTTAAAGTGACCTCCACCTCATGTCCCAGCAGCAAGTATTTTTGCAAAGATAACCGCCCTCTCCTTCAAAATAGTAGATTAGTCTCTCTAGGCTGGGGGGAGGGTGACTAAGCATGTAATGCAGGGGAAATGACAGAGCCTTGTGATAGAAGACACTTCTACCTTAAAAAATCATTTTCTTAAAGCCTATTATTCCTTCCACTAGAGTGAAAGGAAGTAACGTCTTTCTTTCTTAGCACCTGGCTGTCTTCTCCTTCACTCAGCTAGCCCCTCCTCACCCCCACCCCCCTTCAGGCCTCTAGGCCACATTGACACCACCCTACACCCGATGTTTCCTCCCCTGGACAGCTTTCGCCCAATTGAACTTTCCCACAGGTTGGACGAGACTAGAATCAGAGGAGACTTCTCATTAGCAACACTGTGAATTTGGCTCATGGTAAAGGAGGAGACCAGACTGAGAAGGAAAAAGTCAGACCAGCAGCTTGCTAGGGCGGATGTTTATACAGTCTTTCTCCATCTTGCAGTTATGACCTTTCTGCTTTGATGCCTCCAACTTCACTCATTGCCTCATTCCTGTCCCTGATTTGGTACCCTGCCCCTTTGCCACCCTTTGTTACTTTGTCCTCTTAGTGGCTGAAGGAGAGGGGAAAGCAATTTGCTATTTGAGAGGTTTGGCTTGGACTGTTTAGCAAATGCTTTTATTAAGATGTATTTGTGGGACGCCTGGGTAGCTCAGTGGGTTAAAGCCTCTGCCTTCAGCTCAGGTCATGATCGCAGGGTCCTGGGATCGAGCCCAGCATTGGGCTCTCTGCTCGGCAAGGAGCCTGCTTCCTCCTCTCTCTCTCTCTGCCTGCCTCTCCGCCTACTTGTGGAATCTCTCTCTGTCAAATAAATAAATAAAATCTTAAAAAAAAAAAAAGATGTATTTGCAGGTCTTATCTCCTTGTTTTCCCCAGTGAGCTTCTCAAAATAAGTTCCTATCTTCCAACATATCATTTACAGGCTGGCACTTAGCATGCCATAAGTGCATAATAAATGTTATTTTTTTGGTCCTATAAAGATAATTAGTGGGATGTATAATGTGTCCTAGCCTCTGAAGAAGCTAGGTCATCATTGAGCTACTGTCACCTGGGACAAGTTGAAAAGTTCTGGAGCCTCTGAGCCAGATACTCAGATGGGTGAAATGTGCCCTAGGCCTCCAAGTGTGGACTGCAGGACCCACAGACACTGCTTATACTGTCTAGTGAGCTCACATCTGAGTCATATACCTGTCCACACCAGGTGCATGACTTAAGACTTCAAAGGGAGAATACAATAGTGTAATAGAGTTAAAATTCACAATCAACAAACAACTCAAGTTAGCTTTTTTCTCTATAATTGAATTCATTTTAACTCTAAAACCCCCATTTTCAATGATGGGGAGAGACTTGGTCTCGTCACTCTCATTGCCGTTTCAAAGTTAGTCTCTTGGAGTAAATATTTAGTCAAACTAAAGACTTAAACTCAGTCCATTTGGAGTTCACATTCAACATTACAGCTGTTCTCCGCTTGCAAAGATCCTCTTCTTCTCCTCCCCCTCTGGGTGCAGGGGAAGAACAGCGAGGAAGGGTCTGGTTGTGCCCCACATGCCTCCGTCCTCTCTCTAGGTGACAGTTTTGCTGCTGCATAATTTGTAGTCTGATGTCTTAATAGAATAAAGTCTACCACCCGCACCCTCCTCAGCTCTTCCTGGCTCCAGTGAAGAAGCTTGGAGATGGGGCCTCATCTGGGTCCTTTGGGCTGCCCTCCCAAGATCCTATGCTGTAGGGGCACCCTACCCCAAGGCAAGATGACCCCTGTCTTGACTGCTGCTGGAAACCATAGGAGAGCTCTCTGTTCAGGCTCTGAGCACTGTCTCCAGCCTTCTCTCTGCTTCACTTACCACACTGCCGTCTCCACTCTCGGATCCAAAAACACAAAGGTCAACCGTCTGCTCTAGGGTTTCCAAGCTTATCGAGAGGTCTACCTCTTACAGGGAAAGGGGAGAGGTGTCTGAAGCTTGGTGGGGGGAGGCAGAAAGAAACCCTGGGGCAGTGTAAATAGTCTCAGCTAAACTCTCTTTCCCTCTTCTTTCCAGATTTCTTTTCTTGACTCTTTTCTGCGACCTGGAGATTTTAAAAAGGCATCCCTTAGCTCAACATGCTCTTTATTTCAAAATCAAGTAACTTTGTAACTACTTCTTTGAACACAGGCAGCAGATGTGTTGTAGAGCAACTTTAAAAATAAAACAAATAATCTAATTGCTATCAGGTACCATATTTTAAAATACTATTATTATTCTTAGAAATAATAGCTAAGGGGTGTCTGGGTGGCTCAGTCGGTTAAGCGTCTGCTTTCAGCTCTGGTCATGATCCCAGGATCCTGGGATTGAGCCCCGTATCAGGCTTCCCGCTCAGTGGAGAACCTGCTTCTCCCTCTGCCTGCTGCTGTACCTACTTGTGCTCTCTCTCTCTCTCTGTCAAATAAATAAAATCTTAAAAAGAAAGAAAGAAAGAAAAAATAGCTAAAATCTAAATTCTAAAATTATTCCTAGAGAAATCTAGTATTTTTTTTCATTGAGCTTGCAGATTTCTTCAAAGCTTCAAATTCTGTCATTTTCACCAGTATCTGATGACTCATGCAGTGATTGGTTCTTGCTGATCTCAGCTTCTTTTCTATGGGTGAAGGGGCAGCAATAGACATGTCTTTGATCATTAATAATTTCAGCACCTCTAACCCATCAGTTCCCAAGCAATTTCTTCCCAGGGTGCTTCTGGAATAGAAAGCTATGATCTAGAAACTAGTCCTGATCGCTTCTCGGCCTTTGGCTAAGATCAAGTGTGGAAACTAGTCCTGAGTACTTCTGGTATGTGGGGATAGAGGCTAGTAGGGAGTATTTGAGGTCCGGAGGATACCCTTTGCTCAACAGTGAATAAGCTAGGTTGCCTGGGGAAATACACAGGCTGTGGTTTGGAAGACCCTCAAGTGTCACCGGGAGCTTTGTTTCCTGGGAGTGGTATCCTGGGAGCCTACACCCACTCACTAGCAGTTCTGTGGGGACCTCAGGAAGTATCTTTGGTCTCCACAGCTGGAGGCACACAACACTTGGGTCTTCTTCTCCCCTTCTCCACTGCCCACTCCCTCCCCCCAGCACCAGCAGCGTCATGCAGGTGACCAGCGATAGCAATGACAACAGCCTTACCACTGGTCTGCTTATCTGCACAGTATCCCAGGACTTCACTGTCATATCTGTGGGGTTTGGTAACACTGGACATGCCCGAGAGAAAGAATTACTGCAAGGATAGGCAGGAACCACTGCATGTGACCCCAGGGACTCTCACCTGAGTAGCTCAAGCGTGAAACTTTCCACATCCACCTGGCTGACTGGATTCATTGCATACAAAGAAGAACTAGAAAGTGGCCCCCTATCTCTATGCACATATAAAGGCTTTTGTCTGCAAACAGCAACAGAACGCACACCAGCTCCCAAGCTCTGCCAAGAACACAGCATCTAGTGATGCTACTGCTGCTCCAGGAAAAACGACTGTAGATGAGAATGAACAGAAGGAAGCCTGAAGTTCTCAGGCATGAGGTACCATGCTAGTTATCATTTTATCCACTCTCAGCTCTGAATTCACCCTTCATTGACGGCTTTGTGATATTAGAGATGGACTGTAACTATTTCTCCTCTGCCAGCTAGCATGATGTTTAGTCTGTCTGTGGAAGGGCTCATCATCTAAGAGCTTGTGGTCTAGTGGGGAACTCATGGGCATACATGCACACATACGCACACATACAGACATGCTTCCTACAGGACACAGGGGAGATGGGACAGGGCACGAATCTGGACAGGAGACAATGGGCAGGGGTGGGGGGGGTGCAATAGCAGCCCAGCTGTACAAAAAAAGTGATTTTTCAAAGGGAAATAGGAAGGACTTCAAAAGGCACAGTGGATTGAGGCCGGGCTGGGGGGTGGGGGAGAGCTTTTCTGGTTCTCTTCAGACTCATGAACAGAGGTACTAAGTTGCCTTCTGTGGAGACATAAGCAAAGAGGTCCACACTCATTGCTTTCCATTTCATAAGGCTATC